CTGCAAACCTACAGCAGGACACTTCCAACCAGTGTGAAAAAGATCAATTAAGAACATCAAACAGGAGAAGAAAGGGCAGATGTCGCAGTGGTTTTGTACGTCACGGTCTTGTACGTCACGGTGGTCTTGTACGTCACGGTCTTGTACGTCACAGTGGTCTTGTACGTCACGGTCTTGTACGTCGCAGTGGTCTTGTACGTCACGGTCTTGTACGTCACGGTCTTGTACGTCACGGTCTTGTACGTCGCAGTGGTCTTGTACGTCACGGTCTTGTACGTCATGGTCTTGTACGTCACGGTCTTGTACGTCACGGTGTTGTACGTCGCGGTCTTGTACGTCAGTGGTCTTGTACGTCGCAGTGGTTTTTGTACGTCGCAGTGGTTTTGTACGTCACAGTGGTCTTGTACGTCACAGTGGTCTTGTACGTCACGGTCTTGTACGTCACAGTGGTTTTGTACGTCATGTACGTGGTCTTGTACGTCACGGTCTTGTACGTCACGGTCTTGTACGTCGTCTTGTACGTGGTCTTGTACGTCACGGTCTTGTACGTCATGGTCTTGTACGTCGCAGCGGTGGAGCTGAAAACGAGGTGACAGCAACAAAATTTAGTCTTGAACATAAGAAATAAGAGATTAAATTTCCTCTAACATGAATCACTCCAAATAAAACTCCTAAACGATAAACTTCTGTGCTTCTTTGTCATTAGTTTGTTCGACCATAATCCAGCACAACACAAAAAAATAATAATAATAAAAGCTTGAGTTGTGGTGTGAGTAAAAACAGGACCAACGCCGTAAGAGACAGGAGCAGTTTTATTGTGTCGTCTAAAGCACAGATCACAGTCAGAAGTGGACAGTGTTTTGGACATGAGGAGCACAGAACTCCATTTCCCAGCATGCATCGGGAAGCTTTTGTACAGCCGTGGACAGTGTCGTCAACACCGCAAAAAAAAAAAACACCGCAAAAAAAACCAAACCAAACACCACAATCATTTTGACACAACGGAACATGAGCTGATTTCATGGAGACAAACATTTGCAGCGTCTTTTAGAATCTCGTGCCCTCGTTCACGTCCTTCACTTTAATTTATGTTCTGATTTTTACTTATAAAAATGTTTCACGATTTTGGGAAATGTTTAAATGTATTTTTCAATTTTAAAAAAATCAAGAAAAATCTAAACTTTCATAAGATTTGCCAGGACTGTTGTTTCAGTCGCACAAATATCTCAGAATCCCTCATAGTCCTGGTCTAGTTCTGGTTTGGTTCTGGTTTGGTTCTAGTTGAGTCCTGGTTTAGACCTTGTTTTTGTGCAGGTTTAGTCCTGGTTTAGTCCTGGTTTAATCCTGTTTTAGTCATGGTTTAGTTCAGGTTTAGTCCAGGTTTAATCCTGGTTCATAATAGTACAATCTATTATTAATTTAACATGTCAAAATTACACAAAAAAATGTAAAAAATACATTTCAATTTGACAATCTTGGACTTTTGGTAGCAAGATAAAAAAATAAATAAAATAATAATAAAATTTAATTAAATACATTAACCAATACCAATAATTCAATCAATTATAACATAAAATAAATACACAAAATCATTGTAAAGAGAAAATTACAGTAATTTTTACAGAAAGAAGAAATTCATCAAAATACAATATAAAATAAATAAGGATGTAGAATGTTTATAACACATTTTCAAAAATACATTTCAAAATACAAAAGTGATAATCTGTCATGATACAATTCACGATCGTGTAAAGGAGACGGCGGCGAACGTGAGCTCGTGTTCGTGGAGTCCGGAGCGTCTTATTTTATTTTACGTTTTATTTTGTGATTGTGTAAAAGTTTCGCTCTCAAACGGGCTCCAAGGGCTCGAGCGGTGAACAGGAAACATCAGGTCACACGCACGAACCCGACCGCACCCTGACGCTTTTTATTTACCGTTTTGTTTGTTCGCTTCCTGCTGAAACGCCGGAGCACGTTTCCGTTTCCGTTTCCGTTTCGCTTTTTGCTTTGGTCGAACGACACGAGACGACGTCACATTCAAAAAGAACTTTATGTAAACGACTGTTAAAGGCTTTTCCTGGTGCGGGCGACGCCGGCTGCTCGTGTCTGCGCTGCCCCGAATGTCCCACAGCGTGACTTTAATGACGGCTTTGACAATGTCCATGGAGCCAAGGCCGAGTTTACGGGTCAGATCTGTGGAACGCGTGCCGTATTTCCCGGACAGTAAGTCGCACCGGAGTTTAAGTCGCACCAGCCAAAAAATGAACAAGAAAATAAACATATATAAGTCGCAATTTTGGGGGGAAATTTATTTTATTTTTTTTTATTACATTTTATAAAATGGAGAGCGGAGAGTTTTAAAGGAATAGTTCAGGTTTTTTGACATGAATCTGTGTGTCGTCCCCGTGAGCAGCGTCGTGCATCAACACGACTCACCCCCGACAGCGTCCGGTGACACAGACACTGGACGTTTTCGGTGCTGATGAAAGTCGTCCGACAAGTTGTGCTGGGGACATTAAAATAAAGTGTTTTTCTTCTCAAAACAATCTGTGCGATTGTGAGGTCTGACTTTTTGGAGGACGACGGTTTTGTGATGCAAATGTGTCACTCTTCTGAAAACGTCCAGTGTCTGTGTCACCGGACGCTGTCGGGGGTGAGTCGTGTTGATGCACGACGCTGCTCACGGGGACGACACACAGATTCATGTCAAAAAACCTGAACTATTCCTTTAAGTCTCGTCTTAACGCACACTTTTGGGGCCTGTTCACACGAGAACACTTGTGGGTAACAACAACAAAATATTTTATGTGAAGTGTCTTTCGTTTAGACGGTGACGGCGTTTTTGGGGCTTAAAAACGCAAAAATCTGAACCCACCTCCAGAGTGTAAAAGCTGAACAGGCTCCACCGTAGCTTTTCCGTTTCCACTGCCCAAGACGCAAAACTCTGGTCACGTGTGCTCAGGTCGTGTACAAGTGTATCACAGCAGCACCGAGTCGTCTGGCATCCACCCAGTCCAATTCAACACACTTTTGCGTCACCGTGTGTGTGCAGATTTACTCCGGAAAACACTCGTCTAAATGCAGAATAAAAAAAAACGCGACGCCACTTTTGCGTCTTCAAACCTCCATGTTTGTTTTCCCAGTGGGACGTGTCTATTGTCAAAGTCGATCTTTTCAAGTCTTTTGAACCATTTCACTTTTGTTTCTGGTTCTGATATTGTCATATTTTAGTTTTGGGATTCGGACATCGTCATTGTTGTGGTTGTTGGATCCAAACAGCGGAAAACGACTCGAGAAATTAGTTTGTGAACTTCATAAATGCAAAAGTGAATCAGATGTGTGTGACTCAAACCTCTGTTCAAACTGTTTCTCTTCCAACAGAATTGAAAAAATAGTGAAAGGTGAAGGTGATGGGCAGGATTGATCCACAGGAAGAAACAAAAAGGAAACATCCCGAGTTTACAGAGAACATTTTGTATGTGGAGCGACGACAAAACAAAATCCTGATCCTTCGCTCAACCTCGGTTATGAATTTAAAAAGTCAACGCCAAAGTGAAAGTCTCCAACTGTTCACCAAGAAACACCTTCCACTGCAAAGACCAAGACGTGATGTTTGTGTAAAACCACAAGAACAAGAAAGTGCAGCTCAGTCTGTTTGTCTTCTGCTCCTCTACATTAACAAACAGGATTTTGTTTTGTCGTCGCTGGTTTAGTCCTGGTTGTCGTTCGCTGCTGAAGGTCCTGGTTTAGTCCTGGTTTAGTCCTGGTTTAGTCCTGGTTTAGTCCTGGTTTAGTCCTGGTTTAGTCCTGGTTTAGACCTGGTTTAGACCTGGTTTAGTCCTGGTTTTAGTCCTGGTTTCCTGGTTTAAGTCCTGGTTTAGTCCTGGTTTAGACCTGGTTTAGTCCTGGTTTAGTCCTGGTTTTAGACCTGGTTTAGACCTGGTTTAGTCCTGGTTTAGTCCTGGTTTAGACCTGGTTTAGACCTGGTTTAGTCCTGGTTTAGTCCTGGTTTAGACCTGGTTTAGTCCTGGTTTAGTCCTGGTTTAGACCTGGTTTAGTCCTGGTTTAGTCCTGGTTTAGACCTGGTTTAGTCCTGGTTTAGTCCTGGTTCGTCCTGGTTTAGCTGAAGTCCTGGTTTAGTCCTGGTTTAGACCTGGTTTAGTCCTGGTTTAGTCCTGGTTTAGACCTGGTTTAGACCTGGTTTAGTCCTGGTTGTCGTTCGCTGCTGAAGGTCCTGGTTTAGTCCTGGTTTAGACCTGGTTTAGTCCTGGTTTAGTGGTTTAGTCCTGGTTTTAGTACCTGGTTTAGACCTGGTTTAGTCCTGGTTTAGTCCTGGTTTAGTCCTGGTTTAGACCTGGTTTAGTCCTGGTTTAGTCCTGGTTTAGTCCTGGTGACACCAACTCAGAGTCTGACTGGTTGAAGCGACAGTTTCATGGACGTTTCTTTAATGTTGGAGTTCGAAGGCTTCAGGCTCACGTCTTTGACTTTGACTCTGCCCGGCAACAGATGATGTGTGAAATGTGATTGGTCAAAAGATTTAATATGAAAAAAACATGTGTGTCAGAAAATCTCTGAAAGGAAGTGGACAGACCATTTGGAATTATTTAATAATAATATAATTAACATCAGTCTGTGATTCAGATCCTCACGCCAGAGCTATAACAGTACTGTAATACTTCAAGAACAACAGTACTGTAATACTTCAAGAACAACAGTACTGTAATACTTCAAGAACAACAGTACTGTAATACTTCAAGAACAACAGTACTGTAATACTTCAAGAACAACTGTACTGTACTGTAATACTTCAAGAACAACTGTACTGTAATACTTCAAGAACAACTGTACTGTAATACTTCAAGAACAACAGTACTGTAATACTTCAAGAACAACAGTACTGTAATACTTCAAGAACAACAGTACTGTAATACTTCAAGAACAACAGTACTGTAATACTTCAAGAACAACAGTATTTTGTCAGTGGAATAAAAACTCTGAGCTTCATTTTTTATCATTTTGAATTTATTAACAGAAATCTCTTCCAGTTTAATCATATTCTCATGTCTTAGTTTGGAGCCTGTTTCATCGGCTGCATTTTTAAAGAATTTCAGTAAATCATCACATTATTTAATTTCCTAAATATCAACCCGAAAGATGCATATTTGAAAAGCATCACCATCACCATTAGCTACAGTGAAAACAAAATTCACAAACATGACATTTCTCTTGATTATGGGACATTTCAATTAAATTTCTCAGTAGGAAAAACAGAAACTGAATCGTGCCCTGCTCCATATTAAAGCTTTAATTTGAAAGATGAAGTCTCCAAAAGCCGAGTGAAGGAGAGTGAAGGAGAGTGAAGGAGAGTGAAGGAGAGTGAAGGAGAGTGAAGGAGAGTGAAGGAGAGTGAAGGAGAGTGAAGGAGAGTGAAGGTGAGTGAAGGTGAGTGAAGGAGAGTGAAGGTGAATGTTCCTCTGAGTGTCCAGGGCTGAAACAGAGAAAAACAGATTTCATCAAATACAACATAAAACAGATTTTCACATCCAGTGGTTCATTCTTCAGTGACTCCAGGCTCAGTTCTGTTCAGCTGCGTCAGACTGAAAGGTTTTCATTTTTCATTCTGCACTCTTCTTCTCTCTCATTGAATGTCTCTGTCTCTCTTTTGAATTTTATGATGATTATTTATGTTTTCATTGGTTTGTTTTGTGATTTTAATGTATTTCTTTTTCTGTGAAGAACTTTGAATTAGTTTGTGCTGCACAAATAAACTTGCCTTGTCTGTTTTTCAGACAACTGAGAGATTTTGAGGAGAGAAAAAGTTTAAAATCTAAAAATAGGTAAAAATCTGTATTTATTTCTAGGGTTAGTGGTTCTGGAGCTGCACCTGCAGTGTCTCTCTGCTTTATATTTGGTTAAATAGATTTTATTCAGACTTACTTCAGTTATTGGACAGTAACTCTCCTCCGGTGGTGACTTGTGAGCGCAGTTTGGCCTTTTCCTTCTCCTCCTCCAGGGCCTTCACCCTCCCCTCCCATCCAGCCTCACGCTGCTTCTTCTCAGACTCGATGAGCAGGTGGATGTAGTCTGGAGCAGACAGAGGGTCGGGCTTCAGCGCGATGACATCCAGGTGGTTAATGTACCTGGTGGCTTCCTGGACCCTGTCTCTTACATTGTTCTTGATCATCTCATACTCCTGTTTCAGTTTTAACATCAAACCCTCCACTGATTTCTTGTCCTCTTTTCCTTTCAGGTACTTTTCCTTAAGCTCCTCTACAGTTATCACCTCAGTGACTTCTCTGTAATTCCATCTGTACTTCGGGTTGTTGTGTTCACTCCAGATGCATTTTCCTGGGCACTTCTTGCAGTATCCATTAGGATCCATGGCAGCACAGTATTTCTTCCTGCTGTCGTCAGCGATGCCACACGGGTAATGGCACGTGTGATGGCACTTCTGGCAGTTGGTGATGTAATCCCCTGATTCTGAGATGTCTTTTTGATCAGGTTTCACGACTGTGATAGTGACTGTGAAGTCCTTGTTCCTCTCAATCTCGGCCTCGTGCTTCTTCAGCTGCTCCTCGGTCTGTTTGATCTCGTCTTGTTTGGCTAAACCCTCTTTGATTTGCCTCTGAAGATCTTCCAGAGCCTGCTCCAGCTGCTTTCTCTCTCTCAGCACCTCTTTGGTCAGAGTCAGGCTCTTCGGCTCAGTTTTGTCCAGAGCGTTAAAGAAGCTCCTCATGCTTTCCTTCCCCATGTTCCAGAACATTTCATCGAACCCCATCCCAGAACTCTGGTTCTCTGCAAACAGCGCCGAGTTGTTGAATTTGTAGTGTGCAGGTTTTCCATCTTTGTCTTTGGGGCACGGGACTCCTGCTGCTGTGATGGCTTCTAGAACTGGGGGCAGCTGTCCGTCTGCGAAAGTCACCAGAACCCGGAAGTTCTCTGCCACGTCGTTACCAAAAATGGACAGGACAGAGTCGAACACGTAGCGCTGAGTGGCACTGAGGCGAGCGAGAGCGGACTGAGCTACGAAGCACACGGTGTGAATGTCGGTCACTCCAAAGTTGTTGGAGAAAAGGTTCTGGATCTGCTCTGTGATCTGTTGGTCTCTTTTGATGCCTCGAGTGTCTCCAAACCCCGGCGTGTCGATGATGGTCAGAGAATAGTCGATCATGAAGCGGTGGTCAAAGTTGATTTTATAAACTGTTACCCCAGACGTCTGACTATGGACCTGAGATCTCGTCTCCTCCACCACCAGTTTGAACCTGTAGGGGTCAGTCCACTGCACGCCCAGGATGTAGTTGATCATGCCGTTGATCAGGGTGGACTTGCCGGCTCCTGTGGCGCCCATCACCATTATGGTGCAGTTTCTCTTCCCGGGGAAGTCTGTGCCGTAGATGAACCGTGCGCAGCCTGGGATGTCTAGTTTATCTTTCTTCAGTGGAACCTTCAGGATCTGCAGTGATCCTCTGGTCTCGATGATCTCACAGATTTTCCTCAGTTCCTCAGTGAGGCGCCTGGGGCCCTGGGGTTCAGAAGTCGTTTTCCATTTGAGTTCAGCTGCAGGTCCCAGCCCCACTGTAGTGACAGGTGTCACTCTAAAACTGTATTCTATGTCTGCGCTGAGGCCGCTCACTGTGACTGACCCTGTGTCTGCGCTGAGGCAGCGCACTGTGACTGTGCTCACTGACCCTGCATCTCCATCTGTGCTCACTGATCCTGGGTCAGCACACACTGAACCTTTGTCTGCGTCTGCGCTCACTGACGCTGTGTCTGCATCTGCGCTCACTGACTCTATGCCTCTGTCTGTGCTCACTGACCCTGGGTCAGCGCTTACTGACCCTGCATTTATGCTCACTGATCCTGCATCTGCATCTGTGCTCACTGACCCTGGGTCTTCATCTGTGCTCACTGACCCTGGGTCAGCACACACTGATTCTTTGTCTGTGTCTGCGCACACTGACTTTTTGTCTGCGTCTACGCTCACTGACCCTGGGTGTTTGTCTGCGCTCACTGACTCTATGCCTCTGTCTGTGCTCACTGACTCTGGGTCAGCGCTTACTGACCCTGCATTTATGCTCACTGACCCTGCATCTGTGTCTGTGCTCACTGACCCTGGGTCTGCATCTGCGCTCACTGACTCTATGCCTCTGTCTGTGCTCACTGACTCTGGGTCAGCACACAGTGGCTTTTTGTCTGCGTCTGTGCTCATTGACCCTGGGTCTGCATCTGTCCTCACTGACCCTGGGTCTGCGTCTGCACTCACTGACCCTTTGTCTGCGTCTGTGCTCATTGACCCTGGGTCTTCATCTGTCCTCACTGACCCTGGGTCTGCGTCTGCACTCACTGACCCTTTGTCTGCGTCTGTGCTCACTGACCCTGGGTCTGCGTCTGCACTCACTGACCCTTTGTCTGCGTCTGTGCTCACTGACCCTGGGTCTGCATCTGTGCTCACTGACTCTATGCCTCTGTCTGTGCTCACTGACCCTGGGTCAGCGCTTACTGACCCTGCATTTATGCTCACTGACCCTGCATCTGCATCTGTGCTCACTGACCCTGGGTCAGCACACACTGATTCTTTGTCTGTGTCTGCGCACACTGACTTTTTGTCTGCGTCTACGCTCACTGACCCTGGGTGTTTGTCTGCGCTCACTGACTCTATGCCTCTGTCTGTGCTCACTGACTCTGGGTCTGCGTCTGTGCTCACTGACCCTGGGTCTGCGTCTGTGCTCACTGACCCTGCATCTGCGTCTGTGCTCACTGACTCTGCGTCTGCGTCTGTGCTCACTGTCCCTGCGTCTGCATCTGTCCTCACTGACCCTGGGTCTGCGTCTGCACTCACTGACCCTGGGTCTGTGTCTGCACTCACTGACCCTTTGTCTGCGTCTGTGCTCACTGACCCTGGGTCTGCGTCTGCACTCACTGACCCTTTGTCTGCGTCTGTGCTCACTGACCCTGGGTCTGCGTCTGCACTCACTGACCCTTTGTCTGCGTCTGTGCTCACTGACCCTGCGTCTGCATCTGTGCTCACTGTCCCTGCGTCTGCGTCTGCACTCACTGACCCTTTGTCTGCGTCTGTGCTCACTGTCCCTGCGTCTGCATCTGTGCTCACTGTCCCTGCGTCTGCGTCTGCACTCACTGACCCTTTGTCTGCGTCTGTGCTCACTGTCCCTGCGTCTGCATCTGTGCTCACTGTCCCTGCGTCTGCGTCTGCACTCACTGACCCTTTGTCTGCGTCTGTGCTCACTGTCCCTGCGTCTGCATCTGCACTCACTGACCCTGCGCTTGCGTCTGTGCTCACTGATGTTGGGTCTGCTTTCAATGACCTTCCGTCTGTGCTCACTGACCCTGTGTCAGTGTCTGTGCTCACTGACCCTGGGTCTGCATCTGTGCTCACTGACCCTGCGTCTGCGTCTGTGCTCACTGACTCTGCGTCTGTGCTCACTGACCCTGGGTCTTCATCTGTGCTCACTGACCCTGCGTCTGCATCTGTCCTCACTGACCCTGGGTCTGCGTCTGCACTCACTGACCCTTTGTCTGCGTCTGTGCTCACTGACCCTGGGTCTTCATCTGTGCTCACTGACCCTGGGTCTGCGTCTGCACTCACTGACCCTTTGTCTGCGTCTGTGCTCACTGACCCTGGGTCTTCATCTGTGCTCACTGACCCTGGGTCTGCGTCTGCACTCACTGACCCTTTGTCTGCGTCTGTGCTCACTGACCCTGGGTCTTCATCTGTGCTCACTGACCCTGGGTCTGCATTTATGCTCACTGACCCTGCGTCTGCATCAGTGCTCACTGACCCTGGGTCTGCGTCTACGCTTACTGATTCTATGCCTCCGTCTGTGCTAACTGACCCTGCGCTTGCGTCTGTGCTCACTGATGTTGGGTCTGCTTTCAATGACCTTCCGTCTGTGCTCACTGACCCTGTGTCTGTGTCTGTGCTCACTGACCCTGGGTCTGCATCTGCACTCACTGACCCTTTGTCTGCGTCTGTGCTCACTGACCCTGGGTCTGCGTCTGCACTCACTGACCCTTTGTCTGCGTCTGTGCTCACTGACCCTGCGTCTGCATCTGTCCTCACTGACCCTGGGTCTGCGTCTGCACTCACTGACCCTTTGTCTGCGTCTGTGCTCACTGACCCTGCGTCTGCATCTGTCCTCACTGACCCTGGGTCTGCGTCTGCACTCACTGACCTTTTGTCTGCGTCTGTGCTCACTGACCCTGGGTCTTCATCTGTGCTCACTGACCCTGGGTCTGCATTTATGCTCACTGACCCTGCGTCTGCATCAGTGCTCACTGACCCTGGGTCTGCGTCTACGCTTACTGATTCTATGCCTCCGTCTGTGCTAACTGACCCTGCGCTTGCGTCTGTGCTCACTGATGTTGGGTCTGCTTTCAATGACCTTCCATCTGTGCTCACTGACCCTGTGTCTGTGTCTGTGCTCACTGACCCTGTGTCAGTGTCTGTGCTCACTGACCCTGGGTCTGCATCTGCACTCACTGACCCTTTGTCTGCGTCTGTACTCACTGACCCTGTCTCAGACTGCTGCTGTTTTCCACCATCGCTGTACTCGAGCCTGTAGCCCGTCACCGCCTGTGCTCCCCATGAGGGGGCGCTGAAGCGCAGAGTCACACTGTTGTGGGTTACACTGTCCACACTGAGGTTCTCGGGCTTCGACGGGGGCTCAAAGTTATCACTGGCTTCAAATCCGTCTTCGTAAAGGTGGATGGTTGAGCCTTTATGCTTCTCATCTGTTAAAGCCACTGCAAAGAACTTCACATCCTGGTCGTCTCTGTTGGCCTCAGCGAAGTCTCCGAAGAGCTTGGCCTTGGTCCTCATGGCTTCTCTGACCTCTTTATGGCTGTACCACTGCTCCGCCTCCAGGTCTCTGGGCCGCGGGCGGGGCAGGTCTGAGCCCTTTAAGTATTGACTTAAGGCAGAGAGATAGGACTCCTCAGCATCCAGAGATGTAAAGACGAAGCACACGGCGTTCTTCACATTAATAGAAATGACATCCAGGTCACTCTGAGAGGAGAGGACCTCTGTGTTCTTCATCAGGCTACAGAAGGATTTGATGAGATGAGCCTCTTTGACTTTGCAGCTCACCCACTGGTCCAGACATTCACGATTGAACGGAGACGCAGCTCTTTTCCTGAGGATCTCTGCGAGCTCCGCCTCCTCCTCTCCTCCTTCACGGATCAAGGGCAGCTTCTGAGCCAGAACATTCTGCAGTCCCAGCTTAAACTCTGAGCACAGGCTCTTGAAGGTTCTGATTTTTGTGGCTATCTGAGGAAACTGCTGTAAGACTGCACTCTTTAAAACATCACGGCACCTCATATCCAGCTCTGCCAGGTGCTCCAAAGTTCTCTCCACCTCAAGCACCAGTCCCACACTGACCTGCCTCACAAGTCGAGCCGCTGCAGAGTCCAGCGTGGCAAGTGGCAGCAGCCACACTTTAACTGGCACCGCCTTCTCTCCGTCCGGGCCCAGCAGTGTGGGCAGCTCCTGATAAACTTTCACCGCGTCTTCAAATGTCACTGGATTCTGACTCAGGCTGAAGTCTCCATAGAATTTGCATGAGAACTTTTGGACCTTTTCTCTGTCCTTGTCCTCCATATTCAGAGCTCCTTCCCCCTCGATGGAGATGGAGGGAATCTTCTTAATCATCACCTGGAGGTTTTCCTGGATGTCCTGTAGGTTCTCAGAGTCTGACACTTCTTGGTCAAACACGAAGAAGGCCTGAGCGCCGTAGAGGATGGCGGTGACCACGTGTGTGGCCAGGCCTTTTTCAAAGACGTACGGGTGCTTGATGTTTCCTCTCCCGAGTTGGTTCATGGTCAGCTGTCTGAAGCATGTGGTGCTTTTGTACTGCAGAGTGACTCTCGCCTGCTGTTTGGAGGTCTTTGTATCCTTCAGGTATTTGGCGGAGCCGTCGACTGTGACAAGGCCACAAAAGAAACTAGCCTTCAGTGCCTCATCGATGCCCAGAGACAAGGACTTGTCTGAGATGGACTCTGAGGCCACCATCTCAAACTCACTGTTGGGCTTCAGTGTCTCCATCATGTCCTGCTGCAGCTTCTCATGGTCCCACAGCGTCATGCCTGAAACAGAGGAAGGCTCTTTTAGTTAGGGTTAACTTAATTCAGNAGGCCCTTGAAGGTTCTGATTTTTGTGGCTATCTGAGGAAACTGCTGTAAGACTGCGCTCTTTAAAACATCACGGCACTTCATATCCAGCTCTACCAGGTGCTCCAATGTTCTCTCCACCTCAAACACCAGTCCCACACTGACCTGCCGCACCAGGCGAGCCGCTGCAGAGTCCAGCGTGGCAAGTGGCAGCAGCCACACTTTCACTGGCACTGCCTTCTCTCCGTCCGGGCCCAGCAGTGTGGGCAGCTCCTGATAAACTTTCACCGCATCTTCAAATGTCACCGGATTCTGACTCAGGTTGAAGTCTCCGTAGAATTTGCAGGAGAACATTTGGACCTTTTCTCTGTCCTTGTCTTCCATCTTCAGAGCTCCTTCCCCCTCGATGGAGATGCAGGGGATCTTCTTGATCATCACCTGGAGGTTTCCCTGGATGTCCTGTAGGTTCTCAGAGTCTGACACTTCTCGGTCGAACACGAAGAAGGCCTGAGCGCCGTAGAGGATGGCGGTGACCACGTGTGTGGCCAGGCCCTTTTCAAAGACGTACGGGTGCTTGATGTTTCCTCTCCCGAGTTGGTTCATGGTCAGCTGTCTGAAGCGTGTGGTGCTTTTGTACTGCAGAGTGACTCTCGCCTGCTGTTTGGAGGTCTTCGTGTCCTTCAGGTATTTGGCAGAGCCGTCGACAGTGACGAGGCCACAAAAGAAACTAGCCTTCAGCGCTGCTTCGACGCCCAGAGAGGAGGACTTGTCTGAGATGGACTCTGAGGCCACCATCTCAAACTCACTGTTGGGCTTCAGTGTCTCCATCATGTCCTGCTGCAGCTTCTCATGGTCCCACAGCGTCATGCCTGAAACAGAGGAAGGCTCGTTTAGTTAGGCTTAACTTAACTCAGTAAATGTGCACAATTATTCACAAATTATTATGTGGAACGCTGCCAGAAAATTGACATGCAATATGTGCATCGCTCAAGAAGGTTAAGAATGAGCTGATCGCCCAGATGCCCAGATATACTATATATCTATATCTATATATACAGCTTGAGAGTTCTTCAGTATCTTTGCTGTTCCCAGTGCTGCACTTTTCTGGACTGAGATGTTCCGTTGTTTTTCCTGGTATCTGTTGTAGTTTCTTCCAGTTTGGGGGTTACAGCCCCGAGTGTCCGATCACCACAGGCTCCACTGATGCCTTCACTTTCCAGACCTTCTCCAGCTCCTCCTTGAGCCCCTGGTATTTCTCTAGTTTCTCGTGTTCCTTTTTCCTGATATTTCCATCTCTTGGTGTTGTGATGTTCCACCACCACGGCTCTGCTCTGTTTCTTCTCCACCACCACTATGTCTGGTTGGTCCATCTCCATCCTGTCAGTCTGTATCTGAAGTCCCACAGGATCTTGGCTCGGTCGTTCTCCACAACCTTTGGAGGTGTTTCCCACCTTGATCCTGGGGTCTCCAGCCTGTACTCTGCACAGATGTTTCTGTACACTCTGCCCACCACTTGGTTCTGTGGCTCCATGTTTGTTTCCCTGCAGCATCTGACACCTGCAGTTCTGTGCTGGACTGTCTCAGGAGCCTCTTTGCACAGTCTACACCGTGGGTCTGGTCTGGTGTGGTAGATCTGGGCCTCTATTGCTCAAGTGCCCAGGTCCTGCTCCTGAGCTCCAGGATCAGTGCCTCTGTGTGTCCTTCAGACCCTCTCAAGACATTGGTAGGATTTCTTGATATCAGCCACTTCAGTTCTGTTCCGGTGGTTCATGTAGGGGTTTGTCCTGCCATGATGGTCCCTCCAGCTCCTCTTCCTCTGGACCCCACTGTCTGAGACCTTCTCTGAGCTCCTCATCTGTTGGGGCCTTGTCTTGATGTTCTCAAGGAGCTTGGTTGTTTCATCCTGGACAGTGGTTTCCACACTCACTAGTCCTCGGCCTCCTTCCTTCCGGCCTGCGTACAGTCTCAGGGAGCTGGATTTGGGATGAACCCTCCACATGGTCAGGAGCTTTCGTGTCTGAACATCTGTGGTCTGTATCTCCTCATTTTGCCATCTTACAATTCCTGCAGGATCTGATCACTGACAGGACGTAGCTGTTTATTGCCTGCACCTTGTTCTTCCATTGAGCTGCTTCTTAGGACTTGTCTCACTCTTTGCAGGTATTTGGCCGTAGTCACTTTCTTTGTTGCCTCTTCGAGGAGCCATTTGCTTGTGGGACACCAAGGTACTTGTAACTGTCCTCAACGTCTGCTATTGTTCCCTCTGGGAGTGACACCCCCTCTGTGTGGACGACCTTCCCTCTCTTTGTCACCATCCTGCTACATTTCTCAAGCCTGAATGACATCCCAATGTCTGTACTGTAGATCCTTGTGGTGTGGATCAGTGAGTCGATGTCTCACTCACTCTTAGCGTACAGCTTAATGTACGCTAGTGGTAAACCACCCTTGAAGCCAATGGCAAGCAACTTGCACAAGTGTCCATCAAATGTGGCATATACCAAGGAGACTCACTGTCCCCACTACTGTTCTGCATCTGAACCCCCTCAGCCAAATCATCGACCGCACTGGCTATAGATACTGACTCAGAAACGGGGCCACCATCAGTCGCCTCCTCTACATGGACGACATCAGCTGTACACGAAGAACGAGACATCGACTCACTGATCCACACCACAAGGATCTACAGCACAGACACTGGGATGTCATACGGGCTTGAGAAGAGAAGGGAAGGTAGAACACACAGAGGGGGTCTCACTCCCAGAGGGAACAATAGCAGATGGTGAGGACAGTTACAAGTACCTTGGTGTCCCACAAGCAAATGGCTCCTCGAAGAGGCAACAAGGAAAGTGACTCAGGAACAGGACCTGGGCACTCGAGCAATAGAGGCCCAGATCTACCACACCAGACCAGACCCACGGTGTAGACTGTGCAAAGAGGCTCCTGAGACAGTCCAGCACAGAACTGCAGGTGTCAGATGCTGCAGGGAAACAAACATGGAGCCACAGAACCAAGTGGCGGGCATAGTGTACAGAAACATCTGTGCAGAGTACAGGCTGGAGACCCCAGGATCAAGGTGGGAAACACCTCCAAAGGTTGTGGAGAACAACTGAGCCAAGATCCTGTGGGACTTCAGATACAGACTGACAGGATGGAGATGGACCAACCAGACATAGTGGAGGTGGAGAAGAAACAGAGCAGAGCCGTGGTGGTGAACATCACAACACCAAGAGATGGAAATATCAGGAAAAAGGAACACGAGAAACTAGAGAAATACCAGGGCTCAAGGAGGAGCTGGAGAGAGTCTGGAAAGTGAAGGCATCAGTGGAGCCTGTGGTGATCGGACACTCGGGGCTGTAACCCCCAAACTGGAAGAGGCTTCAACAGATACCAGGGAAAAACAATGGAACATCTCAGTCCAGAA